CCATTGTTTCTGTATCTGGTCGGTTGCATTTGTCTTTGCTCTCTTTTTTAAGTATGTTGCAGCTCCAGCCGCTGTATTGTGTTTTATTTGTATTTCTGCGCTCATTTGAAACCCCATTTTGAATTTGTTGGCTTCTTTTATAATGGAATAAAGGCGCTTACTATTTTCATGTTCTTTGACACATACCATCATCCAGTATTCTGTAGTTTTCAAGTATCTTTAGAGGCCAATTGTTGTAGTTTTGTAGGACAGTTCTAGTTGAACTAATCCTCTGCCTTCTTTCGGATCTGGGCACACACAGACGATCAACATCAGCTTTGGGATGATGCATGCGTTAGCAAGTGAAAAGCTTTCTTGTTTTGGCTTCCATTCGCTTAATTTCAGCTATGGTTCAATTAAGGGTGTTAAAGCTGTATTACACCACAGAGACAGCCAAGGTGTTCATGGCTGATATTCTGCTTTTTGAATTTAGCTCAGTATTTAGTACCAGACGTACACGCCTGTAGTAATCCTTTCTTACCTTCTCCTTCATTTGGGGATGTTATATGCCATCTCCTTCGCTAATTCCTAGGTACTTATAAGCTTCATCATGTTCCAGTTCCCTTATCTTTGTGACAAAATCTAAATCTATTACGGGTGTTTCTGTAATTCTACCTTTCTTGAATGTTACTTTTGCACATTTATCTAATCCGAAGTCCATACCTATGTCGTCACTGAAACATTTTACAATCTTGAGAAGACCCTTCAACTCATTTTCGTCTTTGGCAAAGAGTTTGAAATCATCCATGTAGAGTAGGTGATTGAATATTTCTTATTTAGTTTGTAACTAAAGCTACTGTTGTTCAGTTCATGCGTAAGGGGGATTAAGGATAAACAAAACAGAAGGGGTGACAGGGAGTCACCTTGAAAGATTCCACGTCGGATATTTAGACGGTTAGATATGGCAGTGTCTCTGGTGTGACTAAGGTATAGTTTGGTGTTCCACATTCCCATGCTGTGCTTAAAGAAATTTAATACCACAGGGGAGACTTTGTATATTTCCAATGTCTTAAGTATCCAAAAATGTGGAACACTATCAAAGGCTTTTCGATAATCAATCCACGCTGCGTTAAGATTTCTAAATCGTCTCCTGCAATTTTCCAGTATCATTTTATTTATCAGTAGTTGATCTTTGTAGCCATATGAACCTCTTCTGCATCCCTTCTGTTCCAGGGGAAGAATGTTTATTCGAAAAAGGAATAAGTACGGTTCGTCAGTACAGACGTGATCAACTTTTACGTTGTGGAGAGACATGTTTTCGGCCTATAATTTTTCAGGTCGTCTGTTTTACTTGTTTTTGGCATGAGGTATGTAATACCTTCAGTAATCCATTCCGGGATTTTATTGGGATTATTTACAAGCGTTGATAATGTTTTTGCAAGGATTTTATGGATAAATCAGAGATGATAAAGCCAGAAATTGGGCATCTTGTCATTTCCTGGGGATTTCCATTTTGGGGATTTCGTTAGAACTTGCCTAACATCATCTGTGGTTATTATTATTATTATTATTATCATTATTTTTATTATTATTATTATTATTATTTCCCAAGAAAAGCGGTATTTGTAAAAAGACTTTTTTGTAGCTTTTTTATATATATATATATTTTTATACTTGCACACGAGTATGGTTACGTATGCAAATTATTAACTTCCCACCCCAGGAGAATGAATAGAATAACAGGAGATTTATACTAAGCTGTTTGACTAATTCCTCTGGGTAACTAATAAAGCTAACGGTAAGTTCAAAGATGAGCATGATCACCATCATATTAAAGCACGTTTCAGTTGCATGACTTCACACTGGTGTTGTTTTATTCGTTTTTGACCTGTTGATTACCATTACAACCGTTTTTCCTTACAAGACAAACGACGTTTGTACAAAGACTTACACTTTTGGGGCGTTTTTTTTTTTTATATTTGTATACAATTTGTAAACATAACTTGAAGAAGACAGACATACTACCGAAATATTATTTAAACATTGTCAAACACTGACTTTTTCTTTTTCTTTTCTTAAATCTCTCTCTTCTCCAATTGTTGAAAAAAACTTGGAAGATTTACGTCAATCTTTTTACTACTACTACTAATAATAATAATGATAATAATAATAATAGCAAAATTACTACTACTACTAATAATAATAATTATAATATAATAATAATAACAACAAGATAAACTATAATAATAATAATAATAATAGCAAAATTACTACTACTACTACTAATAATAATAATATAATAATAATAATAAGAAGAAGAACAAGATAAACTATAATAATAATAATAATAGCAAAATTACTACTACTACTAATAATAATAATTATAATATAATAATAATAACAACAAGATAAACTATAATAATAATAATAATAATAGCAAAATTACTACTACTACTACTAATAATAATAATATAATAATAATAAGAAGAAGAAGAACAAGATAAACTATAATAATAATAATAATAGCAAAATTACTACTACTAATAATAATAATAATATAATAATAATAAGAAGAAGAAGAAGAAGAAGAAGTAGAAGAAGAAGAACTATAATAATAATAATAATAATAATAACTAGAAAGTCCCGTGAAAATTTCCCGGTTTTTCTATTTTTATTTTCTGATGTATCTTAATTCTTCAGTTAATGATTGAATAAGCTCAAAGCGAGTTCTACGACAATAAAATAGCCGTAAAATTTTCCCTATCACATCGTTAAATATTTGCCAACTTGAATAAAATATTGCAATAACAATCATAATGATGAATGATGTCGTCCTCCTCCTCCTCCATTTCTATCATACCCAACATCTCGTGTTTGTTTATTTTTTAAAATAATATAGCGTTCATGTTTTTTTTTAAAAAAAATAAAAATAAAAATAAAACGTTGGGAGGTCAATTGATAAAAAATCGCTCGAGTTCACCATAAGGTTGTAACCAAGGTAGCGGATTCAAGTGATCTCCTAATTTTTAAAGTATCTATCTATCTATCTATCTATCTATCTATCTATCTATCTATCTCTCTCTCTCTATATATATATATATATATATATATATATATATATATATATATATATATATATATATATATATATATATCTGAAATCTTTTAATATCTATCTATCTCAATTTTTTAATATCTATCTCATTCTATTAATATCTGTTTATCTATATATCTCAGTTTTTTAATATCTATCTATCTATATATATATATATATATATATATATATATGAAATCTTTTAATGTCTATCTATCTATATCAATTTCTTAATATCTATCTCATACTATTAATATCTGTTAATCAGTCTTTTAATATCTATGTCAATTTTTTAATATCTATCTATCTATCTATCTATATATATATATATATATATATATATATATATATATATATATATATATATGAAATCTTTTAATATCTATCTATCTATCTATGTCATTCTTAATATTTATCCATCTATTTATTTATGTCACTATATTAATATCTATCGATCTCTATATGTCAATATTTTAATATCTATCTATCTATCTATCTATCTATCTATCTATCTATCTCTCTCTCTCTCTCTCTCTCTATATATATATATATATATATATATATATATATATATAGGCAGCAATCCTTCCTTTATGCATGTTTCATTAAAAACGACAGACAAGGTACTACGGTTAAGCTTTTTATTTAATTATTCTTGTGTTCTGACAAGAGCTTTCTTTTCTGGACAAAGAGTGTGTAAGAACTGTCCGAATGTTCTGTGTTTCCGAGCGCTTTCGGCTATACCTTTAGACATTATCAAGGATGATTCGATTTCTCAGCTTAATTTAGCGTGTGCGTTCTGCGTATGTCTTATTGTGTGGTAGGGATGTTTTTAATTTCCGAATACGGTTAGCACATTGTGGCTTTGTTCGTAGTTAATATTGTTAAGAGTTGGCTTTTTCTTTTTTATTATTAAAGCTTCCATTATTTTTAGTCTTTTTTGCAGCTGGATGCAGTTAATATACATGTGTTTTCTACTAGTATGTTCCTAATGGAATCGGGTAAATCTGTATTTGTGTTTAAATGGGTTCTAATGGAGCTGTGATCAGATAGGTATAACGTAAGACGTCTGGATAAGCATGTGGTTGTGTAACCGATGTAATTATTTATGAGTCCGGTTTGATCAGGAACACAGTTCCTTAAAGGGCATTTGAATATGGTATAGCCGAAAGCGCTCGGAAATATAAAACATTCGGACAGTTCTTACACACCCTTTGTCCAGAAAAGAAAGCTCTTTCTAGAACACAAGAAAAATTAAATAAAAATATTAACCGTAGTACCTTGTCTGTCGTTTTTAATGAAAATATATATATATATATATATATATATATATATATATATATATATATGTGTGTGTGTGTGTGTGTGTGTGTGTGTGTGTGTGTGTGTGTATGGTTATGGTTGTGAGAGAGTATGTGTGTGTGTGTGTGGTATAAAGCGTTATTATAGTGGTCACTTCTTATTTAAAATAGACGCCCCATTTTTATTTATCAAACAGTTTGTGTATTACGGGTATCGGCCTGCGCATTCGAGAAATCTAAGGAAAGAAAATGCATTTAAGATTTCTTGAATGCACAGGCCGGTAGACATAATACACACTGTTTAATGAATAAAAACGGGGCGTCTGTTTTAAATAAGAAGTGTCCATTAGAATAACGTTTGAAGTAATAAAAATGTCGACTCTTCATGTAAAATCTTAACCAGACACACGCTTTTCTCTCCGTCGACTTTTGTATAAATCTTCTAATGACGCGCAATCATAAAATGACTCCTTTTGATAGATATATTGGCTGACACGAAGGTGAAAAAATGTCGTGTTCAACACTCAAATCCGAAGTCATTACAATCAACTAATACAGTCTCGTCTGTTGCCACAATTACATCTATATTACGAAATCCAAGATAGTAAATCACTCCGCAATTCAAGTCGTATCTACTTTGTTTGCACTGTTAAAATATCTTTTCTTTCTTTCTTTCTTTCTTTCTTTCTTTCTTTCTTTCTTTCTTTCTTTCTACTACTACTACTACTGCTACTACTTATATTATCTAAGTGCTCTTCCTCTGCTTCTCTTCTTTTTCCTCTTCAATCAAATTTCCTTCTCCAGCGTATTTTTCTGGTACTACTATAACTTTTTCTTTTCTTCCTCCTCTTCTTTTTCTTCTACTGCGTTTCTTTCTTTCTTTTTTCTTTCTTTCTTTCTTTCTTTCTTTCCTTTATTTCTTCTTCTTCTTCTTCTTCTTCTCGTCCTCCTAAAGTTCTCGTTGTCCTCCTCCTTTCTTTTTCTTCACCTTACTTCTTCTTCTAATTCGTTTCTTCTTCTTCTTCTTCTTCTTCTTCTTTTTCTTCTTCTTCTTCTTCTTCTTCGTTTACTTCTTTTACTTTGTCTACTTCTGTGCCTGATATTTCTTCCCAATCTTCTACTGCGTTTCTTTTCTTCTTCTTCTTCTTCTTCTTCTTCTTCTTCTTCTTCTTCTTCTCCTTCTTCTTCTTCTTCTTCTTGTTCGAATTCTTCTTCTCCGTTCTCTTTGTTTTATTTTCTTCTTCCTCTGCTTTGCCTGCAATTGGTCTCTTTTAAAACTTACATTCTACTTTTTACAATGTTTCCCACATTAATGTATCTCTGCATATATACATGAGGTTTTCGCCAAGACGAAGATATTATAACTCTTTCTCTATTTACTTCTTCCTTCTCACCACATTCCTCATCCCCTCTTCTTCTTCTTCTTCTTCTTCTTCTGTTCTTTACGCTTCATCGATTTTGTTTTCCAATATTCGCCGTCATTTCCGTGCGTCTCGCTCGCCATTACGAGGCAGTCCTTTCTTTGCTAACCTTCTTGGCGTACATTATAATCTCGAGAGAAAAGCAACGGGAAAAAAGGTGGAGGGGTGCGAATTTGCCAGTTACTAATATATTCCAGAAGAAAATAACTGCTTTTCGGAGGAAGAGCTGGAAATTACGAAACAGCAAATTAGCCTGTATCTCACCGTAGCTGATCGCCCCCACATCCTTGCACCAACGCCGGCAACAACAAGACAATCATATTTAGAGATTGCCATAAACACCAAAGCCTTGTCATTAGTATTAGCTAGGATCGTCTGTCTTCGTTGTCAAGAGGAACTCCTTTTGCAAAACGTTGTAAATTGTAAAGTCGATTCAGTCTTGATGACCGTTGTCAGCCATATCGTATTTTTCTTTTTTATACAGCTTGAACGTACATTTAAAAATATGACAAAAACAAAATGGATGAGCGGTGAATAGATTGAAGAGATCTACTCATCAAATGGTTCAATCTCAGAAATCATTCTTTTATTTTTAAATCTTGTTGCCATTTTTTTTGGGTTCTTTCTTTTATTTTCTCCTGCTTCCTTTATCTTCCTCTGCTTTTCCATTTCAGTTTTCTTAGGCTTCTTTCATTTTTCTTCTGTTTCTTTATTACGTTCGCTTCTGCTTCTTTCATCATTTCCTTCTTCTTTCTTTTTTCTTTCTTTCTTTCTTTTAGCTCTTTCTGATTCGTTCTCTTATTTCCTTCTCATTCTTTCATTTCCTTCTGCTTCTAACTTTTACTCCTGCGTCTTTCTTTTCCCTGTCTTTTTTCTTTCATTTGCTTTGCTTCTTTCTTTCATTATTCTTCAGCTTCTTTCATTTTACTTCTGTTAATTTACTTTGTTGCGGACCCGGCAGCGTGCAGTGCTGGTTTATTACAAAGTGGCCTTGTGCCAGACACTACACTAAACTACCGAGTCCACAAGCAATGTAAAAAAAAATAAAATAATGCGTGAATGAACAGTGAGAGGAAAGGGGTCAATCAACGAGTGCATAAATTAATAAACATCAAAGAGATAGCCGGAATAAAATGACAAAGACGTCTGTTTGTAAAACATTTGTAACTTTAATTAAATGGAAACAAGTAGATTTGGAAAAAGGATTCCGCGCCAAAATAGGAATGCAAGACGGCTAAGGCGGGAAAAAGAGTTTTATAAGGTTCTGGAAAAAGGATGTGCGCACAGATAGAAAGGAGTACTCACTGTGGATTTTTTTTTGGCGTTGTAAGTGTGTGTGGTATTTTTGTGTTAGGTTCATAGTTAGAAAGAATGTTCGGTCGTCTCAGAGTTTTTGGTGAGGCATTGAATTGACTGCTGGAATTTTAACGGAAGGCTGTGGGCATCTAGCCAGGAGAAACGAAGAACGTTTGAAGCGAGTTTCCTGGTTTTGTAGAGTTGTTTACGGCGAGCCCAGAGAGACGAAAAATGTTTGTTCGAAGGTAATAATATCCCTGTCTGTATTTACTGGTTCACTGACGAGGGTAAGTGTAAGTCACCTGTTGAATACGAAGTTTTGCCCACGACTGTGTCGTGTGTCTCGAACATTTTCTAGTGAAAAACGGAGAAGGTCTGACCTGCGGATAGCAAGTTGTTCGTCAGTAGGATATCCCTGTCTGTATTTACTGGTTCACTGACGAGGGATAAAAATAAGCCATTAGTTGAATACGAACTTTTGCTCACGACTGTGTCGTGTGTCTCTAACGTCTTCAGGTCGAAAACGGAGAAGGTCTGACCTGCGGGCAGCTTCAAGACGAGAAGAAGTCTTGGTAGAGTGTGAAGTCGACATTGTTGAGAGAAGATATTTCGGCCCGCATATGGGTTCAGGGCACGGAATAAATGAGTTGCCCGTCTAGTTAGGTTGAAAGTCGGGAGGCAACTGGTTTGCAAACGCTGGCCGTTTTGAGACGCCGAAAAACGCGCGGGAAAAAAATTCAAAATCTGTTAGTCTGAGTTCATCAGTAGGAGCTATCGAAGGTTACTGCTATGTCTAGCTGTGAGAGGAAGAAAGGGGTGAAAACCGCGCGCACACACGCACGAGTGTGAAAGGAAGGGAGGAAACTCGCGCGCGCGTAAAATATAGATGGAATTAATGTGTTAATTCCATAACTTCGTTCGCTTCTGTTTCTTTCCTCATTTCCTTCTTCTTCTTCTTTCTTTCTTTCTTTCTTTCTTTCTTTCTTTCTTTCTTTTAGCTCTTTCTGATTCGTTCTCTCATTTCCTTCTCCTTTTTCATTTCCTTCTGCTTCTAACTTTTACTCCCGCGTCTTTCTTTTCCCTGTCTTTTTTCTTTCATTTGCTTTGCTTCTTTCTTTCATTATTCTTCAGCTTCTTTCATTTTTCTTCTGTTTCTTTATTTCATTCGCTTCTGCTTCTTTCGTCATTTCTTTCTGATTCTCTTTCAACAGTCCGAAGCACGTAAATAGCGTCAGTAATTATATAATAATAAAATTTATATAGCAAAAAAAGAGCGAGGACATTATGTCGAACTCTGAATAGCGAAAGTCTGTTTCATGCTTCAACGTAATCTTCAGACCTGAAAATAATTTGTCTAGAAGAAATTAACTCCGAATTATTTTTTTAATGTACTATGGAAAGCCCTATGAACCATAATAAACTGTTTCCGTAGCACAAATTCAGCCAAGTTAATATTAAAGATTTCTCTACGTCCATCACTGAACCTATATTTGATAAGACACACTTGCATGCAAACGAATGCACAAATATAACAACTGATCAATTAAAAACAATAAACCAATGCCACAACATCACGGCAATAGGACAACGCAAGATGGGAACAACGGTTATTAAATTAACTACCGTATATTTCCACGTATAAGACGCTTAAAAATTGGAGGTCGCCTTATACTACAAGCCTAAAAGAAATCCTTTAATTCTGAGTGATGTTTGTCCGTAGGCTAAACTCGGCCTCAGTGCGATAATCAATAACGTACATTCACTTTATCAAATAAACTGATAATAAAAGTAATAAAACACTTTCTACCTTATATATTACTGATATAACCTCATAATAAATTGCCTATTCGAAGAATAATTCTATATCGATGAATGCATTCTCAGATGAGGAATTCTAAGCATCGAGTTATGATTCCCGGTCACATCGTATTTTACAGAAACAGAGCAACTGTTCGATTCCTTGGCTATTTCAATAACTTTCAATTTAAACCTCGCTTCCATTTCTTGGTGGTTCCATGATTGATATGGATATAAGTTAATAAGAATTATCAACTGGCATAGACAGAAGTTGGGAACTGACTGAATAAAAAATAGCACACCAGGCTGTTTGTAACTGTTTAGTTACAGGAAAAGAAGAGGAACAAGAAGAATCGATATTCGCAAGATATCACGCGATGAAATGGAAACAAAACAATGGTCTACATTTTAGGGGACGTCTGTAGGAAAAAACCTGATATAGAATCAGTTTTGTTTGTTTAATTTGGATTTCTAAGAATAAGGTAAGTAGCAACATTTCCAATAACATCATCTTTATATAACCAATAAGCAGTCATGTTATATTACAGGTATAGGATAAATTCATGAAAATTTGGTATATATATATATATATATATATATATATATATATATATATATATACCACGTCTTATCTAAAGGTTGCCTTATATGCGGAGATATACCGTAGTTTTCACCAAGTCCTATATTTCCATAACGGCTACTTTTTGTTGAGATTTCAATTACAGACGATGATTTTTTTTTTATGGAAGACATGAATCACGTAGTAATTAAAGTTAATTATTGATTACAAAAATTAGCATTAAAACAAATTTAATTTGATTTAAATACGCAAAATATTTTTTAAATGAATTTTTATAATATTTTTCTTGAAATTAAAAGCACAATTAAAACTTTTAAAAAAATATTAAACTTATCGCAAAATTCAAAATATTAAAATATCAGAAATAATGTCTTTATTTCTGGGATGAGGAGTTTTAATTATTTATGCTATTTTACATGCTCGTCAGCAGGCAAATACACGGAATACTGGTAACTGGTCTTTCCAGAAATTCACTTTATTCTGGTTTCAGTTCTCCACGTTATATTCTCTCTTCTTTAATTCCTGTTCTTTTATTGTTCCCTCTCCTTATTCTCAAGTTCTCAAATACTCAGTAATAATTCAGTAAATATAAAAAGATGTTAAACCATATATGACAGTTTAGTTGTCAGGTAAAGAAACATCCCAATAGATACATACATACATACATACATATATATTTAAGGTATGCTATATTTGTCGGATAAATGTAATATGCAGAAAAAAGAAGAAAACAATTATTCATTTATGGTTTGGTTTGTATTTGATAATCAGGCTTCACGTACATTTGATTTGTTGTTAAACAACGTTGGCATAATTTATAGCGTTCCGAATTCAAGGAGAGACGACGTTATAATATATTGCGTTCCGAATTCAAGGAGACGATGCGTCCTTTCGAAGCTACAAGAAATTAACGGATTTCAAATAATGTAAATATTGTTGTATGTATGAAAGTGTATTCTACTTTGTCTATGAGGTATTCATATATATATATATATATATATATATATATATATATATATATATATATATATATATATATGAAGAAATATAGTTTTAAGGTGTGCTATGGTATGAAGTTTTAATGGTATGAAATGCTCAATATCAGAGATAGAGCGTATGTAAATATAAAAACAAAAGTGAACTTTTGAAGTCAACACTCAGAGAAGACAGACGGTTTCATGCTAGACGCAATCGTCAATGTTCACTATATATATATATATATATATATATATATATATTATATATATATATATATATATATGTGTGTGTGTGTGTGTGTGTGTGTGTGTGTGTGTGTGTGTGTGTGAAAATATATAGAAAATAGGAAGGAACTGGTTAGGTAAATAATCCAAAGTCCCTTATTATTTTAGTTATTATTTTAAAAAATAGTGCTCGATACAAAAGTAGAGCATAAATATAATTATTTATTTAAAAATATGATTCCAAATCGCGACATAAGAAGTCCCATGTTTCAAAACAAGAGCCGAAAACTTCAATATAATTATTTAAATTATTTAAATTGAGTTAAAATAAGCTCTGTTCCATCTTCAAGCGAAATTTTTTTGGAATAACGTGTTTCTGAAATTTACGTGTTTTAAAAATCGAAATCAAAATTTCCATGGTAACATCTAGGGCGAATTGTTTAAGTTGGGTAGGCGGGTGTTGGGTGTTAATAATAAGTATCAGTATAGAGTTACTTTCGTAGATGTCAAGTCAGTGAAAGATGGGGTGTCTAAATTTGAAACGGAAGATGTATTAACCCTCGTCTAGTTTGCATGTCTATGGAGATTTATTTTTTTTTTATTTTTTTTTTTATGAAAGGATTTGTGCATATAAAAAAAACAAACAAAAACTGTCGTAACGTTTGTTTTTTGACGACTTAAATAATTATATAATTATATATATATATATATATATGAAATTCTCGACTCCGACAGTACGACTCTGGGTTCCATATCTAATCTTCATATACTGATCGTTGTTTTCAGTTTGTTTAATATTTCTCAGTCTTGCAAGTTCGTGGTGTTGTTTGGGTGAATTATTGCTGCTTGCGGTTAAAATGTTGCTTCGTGAATATACCAATTATTCAACCCCTACATTTGAACTCAGTGAAAAAAAGGACGTGCAATATGTAGGCAGTACTAAAGATAAGAACATAGCATGGGCAGTGGAACGAGAACAGTCTACTCTCGTAAATGGATTCAGTTTAGAATTAACTGTAGGTTACCCGGATCGATATTCACCTGATGAAGGCCGGGTTGGACAACGGTCGAAACGTTGCGATAACATCGACAAAAATGAGGAAAATAGCCCGAATGTAAATAGCCATATATAAATAGTTATTTCTTTATGAAAAATGTCTCACAGTTAACCTACAGAAAAAGACAATATGTATAAAAGTAAAGACAATAAAACTGTATTGTTAGCCGATGCGTTTCGTCCAATATGGACGATTTCAAGGCAAAAAACGAAATGAATTTATTGAAAACAAAGTAACTATCAACAGCAAACAAAATGCCTTTAGCAACTAGATGAATTTATAAAACACTGCTACATTTATGTTGTAAACTGAAAAATATGTAAAGTAATATCACGTGTGGAAATATTGTTTTTTATTGACGGATTCAACCATTTTCTTTTGATTTCTTGATACAGTTGCGTACGTTGGCTTGAGAGATTAGTAATACTGTTAGGAAAGGTGATACTGGGAAAAAACCTGGGCGTAGATTAATATCAGGATAATAGTCAAGGGCGGCACTCTCGAGGATTTTCATTCTGAGTGAGCTATTTTCTTTTTTTTTTCTTTCTTTATGTATGTATTTGTGCATCTGTTTATCTCTCTCTTTCTCCCTCCTCTCTCTCTCTCTCTCTCTCTATATATATATATATATATATATATATATATATATATATATATATATATTGGGAGGCACGGTGGAGTAATGGATAGCGGCTTGGATCGAGGAGTCGAATCCATTACGTGCTAATACCCTTTGGGAAAGGTGTGAATCCTCTTCTTCTCCCTCCAGCTATGGGTAAATAGCAAGACAGTCTGGGTTCTATAGCCTAGAATGGCAACTGTTCTAGGAGAAGGACAACTCTGAATTGAAAAGTAACTCCCTATTTTATGTTGGATAGACTCTCCCGTCTAATTATAATTTTTTACAAAACGGCCAACATACGTAAAAAGAGGGTTCTTTTTTCAAATACCTATATATATATATATATATATATATATATATATATATATATATATATGAGTTAAAGATCAGATGCAGATCAATATGGATCGAATCCGACAAAATGATAAAGTAAAAGAAGAAACGTTTATCAAATTAATATGTTTCACTTTTATTAAAGATTCCTCAGTTATTGATAAAGAACAGGCAAAGTATTTTTTTGTCTGTTCTCTCTCAATCTCTGACGAAGGTTTAGTAAAATTGAAATATGTTAGACTGATAGACGTTTCCTATTTGTTCTTTTATTTTATCAGATAGATAGATAGATACGCCATTCTCCAACAGCGGTGTACATGTCCGTCCACTGACTTGGATATGTACACCGTTTTACAGATGGAAGAGTTCCGAAGGTCCTTCTGTATGGAGGACTCGCCACCGGCCAGAGGGTACGAAGGTGACCTTATCTTCGGTTCAATGACGTCCGCAAAAAAAGGCATGAGGGCGATGGACACGGGTGTCAAGAGTTGGGAAGAGGTCGTCATGGATCGCTCACGCCAGAACTGGGATTTACACCGAGGGCTGGAAAGGAGAAACGAAGTCGAGTGTGCTCGATGGAAAGAAAACAAGAAGGCGACATCCGGGAGAGATCGTCTTCACATGCATTCGCTG